AAATAAGTTGAGGAGTTAAGTCCAGAATAGCTAAGGTCTTAAAATGGCTCCTTAGCAAGATTTGGTATGCGCTAAGAGTACTTGAGTACCCAAAAGATCAGAGTACGCCCTCTAATCAGATCCTCACGTTCATGATGTTTTCCTGTTTGCCTGATACTAGTTACTAGGAAAGTTACCTTATATTCACAATTACAGGCCTTCCCCAATACACTTCACTTGAGCCATTAATTAAAGGTTTCTGTGTGCGACAGATCCTTTTCATGGAACTGATATTCCAGAGGCTTATGGTGCGTAATATTTAAGTAGACTCATTGCCAAGAATTTCAAGAGTTGATGTTATAGTGTTCCGCAGGTAGGGAGTTGACTTCTGCATTTGCAGCAGATGTGTCTTGATGAATATTCAATGCCTGAAGCGATTTTACTGAATCATGGTCATTTGAATATGTTACGTCATTCGACACATGCAAAATTAGAATTTTATGTTCCATTTTTCTATCCTCAAAAAAAATCATGTTTCCTTCACAGATACGGTATATACCCGGCTTTAATTTCTTTTCAACTGAATTTGACTAAAACGAGGCTTAAGCTAAAAAAATAAAAGCGGATGGAACGCCAGTGATAAAAGACGAAATTTGTGAAGCAACAATATTAATATTTGAGTATACTAATACCAAATGTTTTACATAAACAATAAACATGCCATTTCTCTCTAAATTTAGAGACTTGCGTCCATATCTCCACTATACTTTATAAGTTAAATTCTTCACTTTTATTTTACATATTTTCGCGATCAGAATTTAGCGTCTTAGCGCTAAAATACACAACTGTACAACAGCCATTTTCTTCGTCAAAGATCGGCCTTCACTGAGGAACAGTAGTCTTGAATGACCGTGCATTTTTGTAATTGTCCGTTTTATAGCCTTTTTTCTAATTACTTACGTAGCCAATATCTGTCGGTGGTATATTTTGTATTTTTAACTTTGTTTTGGCTTCAAAACAAGCTAAGTGCTATAAAAGAGAACAGGAAGCAGCAATTAGAGGAAAAAAAAGATATGCGAAGAGAATA